TCTCCCTCTCCCTCTCCCCTCTCTTCTCTGTCACACACACATACACTTCTGAAACTTGACTTGTCCCTACCCTGTAGTATATCTGAGGATTGTTCGAAAGATTTGCTAAAAATAGATTATCAGTGAGTGCCCACCTTGAATTTGATTCTGTAGATTGCAATAGGGTCATACCACTCACTGACATAGCACATTTCTAGGTGGTGGTTACATCAATCTCCCAGGGAGGACCCTTTCAGTTACTGTTCTGTAGTCAGCAGACAGCAGCTCCACACACAGAAGAGCTCACACTGAACATGTGTGAATACTAAAAGCCAGCAATCATCTGTAGTAGCTGCTGGAGAAATGGCAGGAAAGAGTTTGTTTTGTGTCCCTCGGGTTTGCTGGCCAGGATGCTGCAGCAGACGTACCCTCCCACCCCCACCCCCGTGTCCAGATCCTAAGTACAGGGCGAGCACCTTAGGCACAGGGTAGGCAGCTGTGGTTCCAAGTGTGGGAATTCCAGTGGGCAGATGAAACTGGGAGATGCTAGACTGTATTTACCCTACGCTGCGATCAGGTACTGGACTGAGAGAAGCTCAGGGAGTAGGAAAAAGCAGCCTAAGATGTGGTAGGCTGAGGGTGGGATTCCCTGACTCCTGGATATCTAGTTGCTACTGGAAACCATGAAGAAGAGTCAGGAATAGAGGGTCGCACCTGTGATGAGGAGCCTGGGACCGGGGGTTCCCAAACTCGTGGATATCTAAATGCCATTGGGTCACAGAGAATTGAGAACAGAGTTGGGCCTGCAGGGCTGTGGTCTCTCAGACTCCTGGATCTCCAGATACTGCTGGACGTCTCAGAGGAGCAGAGAATAGATGATCCAGGAGCACAGAGGGGCCTTCTGGAGGAAACTTAGATAGCTACTCTGTAGACTAAGGCTTCCTCCACGCTCCCCAGGCCGATTCTTTTTTTTTTTTTTTTTTTTTGGTTTCTCGAGACAGGGCTTCTCTGTGTAGCCCTGGCTGTCCTAGAGCTCACTCTGTAGACCAGGCTGGCCTCAAACTCAGAAATCCACCTGCCTCTGCCTCCTAAGTGCTGGATTAAATGCATATGCCACCACTACCCGGCCCCCAGGCCGATTCTTGATGAAAGAGACAGACCTTGGTTCCAAACTGTTTATTGATTGTTCATCGTGGAAAATGGGTGCATACCTCCCTCAGGGTGGACCAGAGATTAAATATCTTTTCCAAGAAGGCATGTCCAAGAAGGGAAGCTTATTGGCTAAACCCTCGGGGGCCTCTAGATATCTTATAAACATAGAGAACTCTGTTCTGATCTACATTCCTATGTAGTGAGTGTGGTCATATGACAGGGTCCTGGAAGCAGGTGAAGCTCTTACCATCCTCTCAGAGGTTCCCAGGGTTTTAACCCCTTCAACCTTTCCAAGTTTCCTGACACAGTCCACTATCCCACAGGCAGCAGCCTCCAGACCAGCAGCTGTGGTGGAATACCTCTAGAGAGGGTGGACTTCGAAACACTCTAGAGAATGAACCTCTAGCAAATGTACCAGCATAACCTCTCATTCAGTGAGCTGTGCCATCTCCAAGGCCTGGTCAACCTTGGTGCAGAAGGAGGAAGGCAGAAAAGATGCCTTGGGTGCCTTCTTAGTCCTA